AGCATGTAGTAGACAGTCTTACGTACAGAGGGCTGTTGAGTCTGTAGTTGGGAGTCTACACAGGTCTGCTACACTACCTTGGTATTTTGTCTGCTTTCTAACATGGTTTGTCATGGTTTTGGCAGATTGGCTCCCATGTGTGTGCTGGTTTACTCTGAAAGTGCACACATGTCAGTGAAGTGTTGCAAATATATATAGAATAAAATTACATATAATAAACCCCTGAAAATTATAGAATGCAGGAAGGCAGAAAAGGTATTTCACAGAGTTATAAGGCTCGAATTATAAAGGAGTTTCTGCTGCAGAACTCTGGTTTCAAGTAGCTGTGTCTAATTCATTCCAGCAGGTAAAACTGGAGTATGGCACTACTGAAGAGCAGTGTTCACAGAAGGATAAACATGGCAGTTTACCTGATTTTTTAAGTTATGTTGTTTGTAACTTGGCATATGAAGAGATCTGAGATCATCTGTTTAGATTTTAACACTCTTAATGTAACTAAAAATGTCCTAAAGGCTCAACACTTACACCCACTGAGGTTTACTTAGCGCAGGCTGGATACGCCATGGATTTAAATTTCACTAGACAAAAAAAAACCCCACCTAAAAAACCCGACTGGCATGTGAACTTCTGTGTTAAAGAAACTGCCTGCACACTGTATGCTGATGTTTATTCTAGCAGATTGATCTCTGTCATGCATAATATTTTCATATCTTCATATCCACTAAATATGTTTTCATTTTATTCATCTTACAAGTTTCTCTTCCTATGACAGAATGGAGATGGGTTGCCATGCCTGCCTTGTCTGTAAAACCAGATAACATTTAAGATGTGTCCCTGCAAGGCAGGCTCAATAACAGCATGCCCCAAAATCAAAACTGAATCTGTGTAAAAGAGACTGTGTGGAGCATTTCACAATTTTCTATCCTGGATTTTAAGTATTCATAGTGGGGTTTTTTAAATTCTGTAGACGTGCTTTGAATTGCTAGTAGTCAGCTTGGATCTTTGAGAGAGCAAGTTGCCTTGAAAACTGAGTTTAGTTCACTGAACAAACAGGTGTGACATCCAAAAGACCAAGAAAAATCTGTGATGAATCCCCCCTAACTCCACTTTATTTCGTTTCCTTATTTGCATTGCAATACAGCTAAAAAGTTAAAGTATATTTATAATTTCCCTAGAGGAACATATAATGTGTCTTTAATCCAGGCATTATTTTTTGTCACAGTCCTTTAGAGAGTGATGCAGATCCACCTGATGGCCCTGAGAACTGACTTTAGAGTGAAATTGGGCTCATACGTTGAATAGAATTGTAAGACATAGTTCCTAAATGAGTAGGTTGTAAAACATTGGAAGAGAGAAGAACCTATTACTTCATTTAGGAAGTCTCATGTGATCCTAAATCATGTTTAACCCCAGCATTTATGGAAGTTTGTGTGGAAGGGTTGCCTTTTTGGATCTGCATGGTGTCAGAGAGATAAAGGCAGAGATAGTAGTTATTTCCTTCCTACAAATATGTTTATGCTGTAAGGTAAAAGGCTTGGAAAAAAATGTTGCTTTGGTATAAATCAACTTTAAATATTCAGATTTATTTTGCAGTGTGCATAGAGCCATAGAATGGTTAGGGTTGGAAGGGACCTTAAAGATGACTTAGTTCCATGCCCCCTGCCATGGGCAGGGACACCTTCCACTAGACAGGTGTCTCCAAGCCCCATCCAACCTGGCCTTGAACACTTCCAGGGATGAGGCAGCCACAGCTTCTCTGGGCAACCTGTGCCAGTGCCTCACCACCCTCACAGAGAGGTAATACAGTATAACTCTGCAATTATTGTTAAGTTTTATATTAATATTTATCTTTAAAGTAATTGGAAGTTCACAAAATACATTTTCATTTACTGAAGAATACTTCCCATACCCAAGGGTAGTGGAAGTGTTATTCAATATTTTTTCTTTTTAAAATGTATAAGACAATAATTTCAGAATGAATTAGCATTTGAACTCTAAATTTTTTCTTTAGACTTGATAATTGTGTAAATGTTACATCAATTATTGTGTGTATTGACTGTGTATTATTATGTAAAAATGCTGTTTGAGAAGTTGTCATTAGTGTTTTAACCAGTTCAGTATGGGAATAAATCAATTATGCTGCTTTAGCATTTCACTTTATGAGAAAATTGTTGTCTTCACTCTTTATCAAGTTATTCTTGCATTTAATAATTCAACAGCCAGTCTGATCCATTTTTCACCTGGGAAAAGGGGGCAGCAGCTTGTCTTTATTTTACATGTATATTCAGTGTTCTACTCGAGGGAACGGTATATCCAAAAATAAGACTATAAATAAGAAATCAGTAGCCTTTTCTGTCTTGCTGCTTTATGTGGGTTTGATATATGCTTCTGCAGCATTATTACTTACTCTGTTCAAATCAATGCTCTGAGCTTTCCTTTACGTGATTGATTTCTTCCAGATTAGCCTACGAAGTACGTGATTTAATAAACACCACTGTTACCTGTTTACTAACACATAGATGTCTGCAGTACCACAGACAGAGATACTACAGAATTTCCAAAAGTGTTTCAGTCACTTGTAAGGTTTTGATGGTATAAGTTTATTTAAATAGGAAAAAGAAAATAGCATTGGTCTCATATAGTCAAAAGCAAACTCTAACTTCTTGGAAGAAGTAGAAATAAGGTAAGAACTTCTAAAAATTAAGCCAGATTCTGTAAGACATAATGATGAAAAGTAAATAGGCTTACTAGGATATTGTCCCCTTTAACACCACTTTCCTGCTTCCAAAAATAAGTATTTTTACATGTTTCTATGTTCTTAAACATTGCAGTGACAGATTGTAATGTACCAATAGCAATGTTGGTGTCCCTCCCTAAAATATACCTGTGAATATGTATTTGCATTACCACTTAGTGAAGGTTTTTGCAGAAATGGGGTGTCAAGGAAGAATTTAAGTGTCTTGTGTGATATAGTGCTAGTTAGGGTTCAGTTGGTTTGGGCTCCATGTAGAATGCCAACTCTTCATTAGGCTGTTATTTCATTCCCACAGTTGCTTATCCATAGCAGCTTGCAAGGTGTTAATGTTATGGGCAGCCATGTCTTGAACAAGTTCCCTGCAGGACAAGGAAGGATTTTGTATGTGTTTGGATGTTTAGAGATAGATTTTTTTAAAGTTGCTTATAGCTGAATTATAGGGACCTGGTTTGGACACAATTCTGTACAGGTTTCTGTTTGCCCTAGCAGTTTTATTTTTTTATATTTCCATAATACTTCTCTAATATCTCTAAGACAAATGTTTTCTAACACTTTCCAACCCAGACACTTTTGTGTATAATCACTGATAGAAAATGTAATGGCCTTCAAGCACCGATGGCCTGTGCAGTTGGGAAGTTTGGAGAAAGGTTTCACGAGAGGTTACTATGTAAGATTTTAACACAGATGTCCAAACACAGTATTTTTCATCTTTAAGTTCACTCTTAGTTCTATGTTTTTTTCCGGATAATGACCTAATATAACATTATTCCTCTCTATTTTTTTCTCTCTGTATATATGGTAGAGGTTTTTGATTTCATTCCTTTTGCAATATTGTTTTCTCTAGAGGTAAATCTCAATAGCTTCACAGTATGTCTCTGCTCAGATGTAGGCTGCAGTCTGATATACAGCATGTTTCCTCAGTCTCTGTACCCAAACCAGTCTGTGGCCAGGTCATTTCTTCAATGCTTTCTGAGAAATGTTGTGGAGTTCTATTAATCTTTCTCCAGGAAATGTGTCTTTCTGATATTACCCTGCTTTCCTCCGCTTTCCTTGGAGATGGCTTTCATTTTCAATTGCTGTACTATTGTTTTTAATATTACTTAGGCTTGTTGTCTTTTCCTGCCGCTTTCTATTGTAGAATTAAGATGCTACTTTCGGCACAGAAACTATCATACTGCTTTTGAGGGACAGATACTATTCTTACTCCCCCAACACCTAAGGAAGTATTGTACAATATGATTCTATTCAGTCCACACTTTTATCAGCATGATCACCATCACCTGCAGCCATCATTCCATTTTAGAGCACACCCCTACAGGTATTTTTTCCCTTTTTGCAATATCAAGACATGAAGAAGATGAATCAAAGTTTCTTGCATGTTTTTGTCAGTGTATTTTTATAGCTCCCACGGAAAGTGATGGACTTGGCAGCCTAGAGACTGAAATCCTCTGTTTAATCACAGGCTAGGTGTAGTTCAGCAGAAAGATGTATTTCTATACACAGCCCCTGTAGCATGTCTAAGCCTCAAGCTGTAAAGCCAACCTTCTATAAGTGGAAAAAAACTCTCAGGCCAATCAGTCCCTGTTCTCATCGGTGAAACTGTTGAAAAAGAAGCACTCGTGCCATTGAGGTTTGTGACAGGTGCTAACGTCTAGTCTGGAGTGCACTGAGAGTTTTCTTTCACTCATTTGGGAATGCCTCTCCCTAAGTTACTGAGAGAAAGTGTTCTATCCAGGCTGGAAGTTGTACATCTCTCTGCATTGAGTTGTCACGTACCACTTCAAAAGGCAGTGGGTTTTCAGGTCAGCTTTCATTTAGCCCTGGGCTTGATCTTTAGACCATTAACATCTGTGATTATTTTATTTCAGTTGTGTAAACTCTCCAAATCCGACAGCTAAAACCAGAGAACTAAGTAAAACAATAAAACTCATTCCTATGTTTAGAGTATTGAGACATTTTATATGAAAACAAAGCAAAACTAAAGCCCTGCAGAGACTCTTGCAATATCCTAGGTCCACAGAAAACATACTGCACAGAAGTCTTGTGTGTGGTAATAAATTGTAATCTCTGAACATTTTCTAATGTTGAATAGAAAGGCAATGGTCCTGGTGTCTTTATAGGGTTTTATTCATTTTTCCCTAAAAATCCAATGTAATGAAAGTATGTGCTGTTCCAATAGAAGTTCTGGCTATTAAATCTGATAGAAATAATTTGACAGTTTTTTGGGTCTTTTTGTATTTTTCAGCTAACAGGACAAGTGACTTTGCAAATTGCCAATGAACCGGTTTTGCCGTTTAGTGCCCTCGACATCGCGTTAGAAGTTCAGAACAGTCTTAAAGGTAATTTTCATTAGAGGAATATTGTTCTCAGTTAATACTAACTCACCTTGTTGCAGAACATGCTTACTCCTTTTTCAGGTGTGACAAAGCAAGATACTATACCAATATGTATTGTTTGAGTTGACTAAGTACTGATACCCTGGAAGCTCCATATTTGAAACTGGCATATTTGGGACAATGGGTTAAAGAACATTGTTTGGGACAATGGGTTCTTGGTTAAAGAACAAGCATTCTGCAGTCTTTTTGTCCCATGTTGACAACAGATTCCAATTAAGCACTTGTCTGGAGCTTTTAAGATAACTCATTTACAGGGTGCACTTGTGCATTCCCTTTCCTTCTGGGGGCTGCTCTTGGTTTGGTTTGGTATTTTTCCTCTCCACAGTTAGTAGAAAAATGTTACTATGTTATATGGAACTAAACCCATGTTATGTTCCTGAGATGTTCTCTGCTACTGTCTGGACTACAAAAGAGCAATTAGCCTTCTTCTTAGAAATTACGAAAAGAATATGCCTTAGATGCCATCCTGAGGGAGTCTAGGTTCTAATGTTGTCCAGTCTCACTTATCCCTATAAACTTCCTCCTTCAGTATCATCTGTCTTCCTCCTCCCATTCAGTCCCTTTTCCCTCACAGTTTCCTCATATCCTAGTGTTTTCAAATGAGATCCAACTCTCCTTCCTTTTCTAAAGGACTAGTTGAAAGTATGTTGGATGTGGAGGACACATAAGAAGCTTAGTCCTTGAAGAATAAATCTTTTGAAAATTTAGTTGCTATATTCAAATATAATTCCTCAAATGTGTACAAACTAAGTTATTTCAGTAGCTGGTATTCTGGTCTGAATTCAGTGAACTTAAATTGTGACAGTTACAACCCTGACAAGAACCCACATGAAATCTGAAAGACTGCTCCATAGCTTGGTCTTGTTAGGACCTCACAGAGGAAAAATGTGAGATAGGTGAAACCATGTTACTCTTTCCTGAGCTCTAATTATGTCCATGATACAGATTACCTGTAGTGTCCTAAGGCCTTTCAAAAATACTTTTCTTTCTTTATACGTTTATGTAACTCTTAATTTGATCTGTTAACTAAAGATGTAAGTTCTATAAAATCACACCCAAACATTACATATACTTTAGCAGATGTGAGATCTTAGTCTCAGACTTAAAAGACTTTTTGCAATCTTGAGGTCCTGCCCCTGCATTTCCTTCACTCTCTACACTATGAAGCACCACTTTTCTGCAATACAGACTCATAGAAGTTTGATACCTTTTCTTTAATCTTTGCCATCCATCATTGTCAAGATCTAGGAGTCAGTAGGCAAGTATTGGTGTGGAATCAGTGAGCATCCAAAAAGACAGGTAATTTTAGCTCTGTTGTGCCAGATAAATATTGGTTTAGTTCAGGCAAAACACAGCAGGCAATGATCATCAAGTGAAAAGTGTGGCTCAGCTGGTATTCCTTCAACTGAGCATGAGATGTCTGCTATTGTTTTTCCTTTTCTCTTTATTTTGAATAACAGGAAATGTTGATTTAAACTGACTTTTTCCTCTAACTTCAGTTAGATCATTTATCTCAACCACTTCAGGGGAGCAAAGATGATTTCCTAGGCTGTAGAGCAAGCAGGATAAATTTTCTCCCAGCTGTTCACTTTGGAGTTTTGTTCAATGATTTTTTCATGACTTTCATGTCTCGTCTATCTCTGACTTGTGTTAAATAAAAGTTTATATTCATTCTGGAAAACAGTAGGCAATAGTCTTTTTTTCTGGATAATTAATTGAGAAGTTGTACTTTTTGACATGGTTTGTGGGTTTCTTCATTCTTCAAAAGATTTTATATTTTCTGAGATTACCAGTTCAAAGTTACATTGTCTCAGTAAGCTGTTTTCTTCTCCAACTGAATGCAAACTGTAAATATAGAAAAGGTGAAGGTAAATCTGCACGACATGCCAGAAGATTTGTTCATTAGGCTTAATTTTGTGCCTCTGGGATCTGGTTCAGACAATCTCTTAAACACACATTTTAGTGCCCATTGGACTTTCTCACTTGAAGTTAAATCATATGTGTAAATACTTGAGTCACTGTTTTGCAGTCTCCTGGATGTGCTCACAAAAGGTTGTGTATATTTGTTAATACTGCATTTGTTTATGTTTCTAAAGGCTTTAACTCTGTTATGTAGTAGGTGTCTATACTATCAGCTCTGTTGTATTCCATGGGATATTACTCAGCACTTTATAAACCATTTCTTACATTCAGGATAGTTTGAATGGCAGGTTGTATCATCCACAACATGTTCACATCTGGCTTGTGGGCTGTTCCTCAGAAAGATGAGGAAAAGGCTGTAAAGTGACATGTATTCTCTCCACTTGTCCACAGCAGAACTCTTGGAAACAAGCTACTGCTTTTGGGTTTATCTGAAAGGAAGGGTTAGGACTGGAGAGATATTTCTTTTTGTGCATCTGCTAATGGTTGGATGCTTAACAGGAAACCTCATGGTCATAAATGATAGGAGATGGGTTCCAAGGCTGAAATCCAGGTCTCCAGGGCTAGTCAGGCTGTTATCTGTTTCGTCACAGATGTGATATTTTAGACAAATCCATAAATAGGTGACGAATTTAAATATTCCGATTAACTACATCTTGCAGTTGTGTGGTGATTGTACCTTCCATACATTTAAAATCAAGATCCACTGCAACTTGAATCAAATACAGGAATATCTTGCTAGGTCTTGCATCCTATGAAAACCCAGTTTATCTTTTGGGGTAGGGCACAGACAAGATGTCACATCTGGTGCATGAATGATAGAAATGCTGCTTTCAAGCACTCCTGTAGAAGTATTTTGTATGTATATTCAAGTAAAAATGTATGGGGTTTTTTATAGAAGTATTTTGTATGTATGTAAGCATTTTTATTCAAAGCATATTTGCATTTTC